TAAAACTATGGAACTTTTTAGACAAAGACTTAAAACTATGCAAGAGTCATCTAAATTTTAAGAAAACTCTGAAGACAAAGCTTCTCAGCGAGTTCTTAAATTAAATTTTTCTTATTTCTTTTATTTTTCTTCCTTTCTATTTTTTTTTAACAGAAAGTTAGTGTACTTCATACATAATATATAACTAGTGTACTTTGTACTTATCTCACCTCATGTATTATATTGTTCACAGAAAAACCTTTTAAGGAGTGTACAATAAAATTTTATATTTTTATATATTTTATAAGGACAGCATTGAATATGACAACAGATAAACGACTGTCAAGGAGGTTCTTATTTTGTCTTTCTGCACTGCAAGTGACACATGGTTTGACATAAGCATGCACTGAAGATATAGGCATGGCATGAACACTTTGATTCTCATCAGAGATTGTAAAAGCCTGTTTTTCACCAAAAATTTCTTGATTTTGTTTGAGACTGACTAAAGTAACAAATGAGGTATGTCCAGAATTGCACACTAATGAGATGCGTGCTATTTTTGATAATTGCTGAGATTGATAAGAACTCTGTAAAATATCACCAAAACACACATATTTTCTGTCAAATATGAAGCTAAATGAAAAGGACACTTTGTGATGCTTATAATAAGATGCATGAATCTCATTAGCCTTCAATCCTGAATGTAAGTTTTTTTTCTATAAAACCCCAAAGTTATTACTTTGGGTGTTGGTAAGTATTCTGTCATATTTATTCTTGTATGTTACTCAAAAATTTATTGATAAGGTCTCAAAGTATGAAAAGGTTATTAGAAACAAGGACAATGTTGAATGTTCCTGTGAACAGAAGTTTTGAAGTTTACATGCATTACTCTTTTTTCAACAGGAACAAAGAGAAAGAGAAAAACAAGATCTTGAGCTTGCCAAAGAAATGGCTGAAGATGATGACGATTTCCCTTGAATTCAAAGTCTCTGTTGTCAGTCACTGTCTGTAATTCTTGTAGTTCCTGCAGTATAAATAAAAATGTCTTTTTTGATGTTGTTCTTGTTTTCTTGTTGTCTTACAGTTTGAATTTAGGTGTTTTGGATCCCCCCCACCCCTTCAGAATTACCAGTGACCTTCCATGGGCTGGGTATGGATGTTTTCTGGAACCACACACTGGTGAATCTTCACAGTAGCAGAAATAGAATTTATGGTGCACCTTCATTTAAAGTTCATACAACATTGCTTAGCCAGGAAATAACAGTTTACAATAATTACTCATTCGCCAAATACAACGAGCTCCTATAGAACTTGAAAACCCCAGAGTGGTGTATGCCAGATTTGGCCAGATTGAGTAATCTTTTCAAATTATTCAGGGGTCAATTTAATAAAACTTTTACACTTGTAATCTACAAGTCGGACCATTGTATTTACAAGCGCAGACGAAAACAAGTTTAATAAAAATCGTTACAAGTCCAGGTTACAAGTGTCTGACTTGTAATTATAGGTGTAGCACTACACAAGTAAAAGATGGTGAGAATCAAATTTAATACAACTTTTACAAGAGTCTGACTTGTATTTTTACAAGAGTTCAACTTGTAAATCACAAGTGCAAAATACAAGTCGCATGTCACTTGTAAACATTGAGTACAACTTGTGAAACAGATGTTGGAATGTCAAAACATGTCGTCTTCTAGTGAAGAGGAAGTCGACGAGCTCCTGAGATGTCAAATTGTCGGCCAACCTAGGAATTTTGAAGAAAGACAGCTTTTTGACATTGACAATCCAAGGGAATTTCAAGGGAAGCTTCGTCTACCTGTGGACACCTTCATCCACCTTTTGGGATTTTAAATAGGCCTGCAGATTTTGAAAGGGCAGCAGAGAGATTAAAATTTGCATTTGTAAAAATACATGTGCATTCAAGCAGATTTTACAATTGTAAGGCTACATTTGTAGTTTACACTTGTATCCTAACTTGCAATACACATGTAAATTCCAGTGTAGAAAATACTTTCATTGAATCCTTGTATTTACAAGCTGAACTTTACATGTGTAAATTACACGTGTAAAAACTTCAAGTGTAATTTCTTTATTGAATTGACCCCAGGATTTCATCATTATAATTGAGTAGCAAGTTGTACACTGCTATTTCCTTTCTGTTCACTCTCTTGGTATTAAAGCAGAATTACTGACATTCAGTGAGATTGAAGGGTACTTAGTGGCTTGTGTACCCCTTGTTAGACTCTTGAACTGTGAGATGTTTACATGTGACTTTTAAATTGGTATAAGCAATCCCAAGTTGCTTTTTTCTCGAGCACCAATTCAATGCCCTAATCTTCAGCAGGAATAATTTTTTTACTTAGTTTTTCCAACAAATTCAAGGGAAATCATTCATTTACAAACGAACAAAGTTGTCTCTCTTCACATTTCTACCAAGGGGAATTGTATGTACAAAAATCAGCAAAACCAATTTAGCTATGAGGAGGTGCTATTAAATTGAAGATGAGAAGTCTTCAAAAGTCCAAAGAGAGAGCCCTTAAATAACTTAACATAAGGGAATAACCACACTCACTGTCTTTCCATTAGACCACAACATGTATATGGATTACTTGAAAGATGGACATACCTTCTTGTATGACATAAAGAAAGTTGATGAGGTAGTGTAGTAAAACACCCTGTTATTCAGAAAACTAAGAAATCTTGATATTGATGAATTAAGAATTCAAAATATTATGCCTAAGGTAAAGATAATAAAATTCTGCTTCATTAGACTCCTTGTGGCATTTTCTCAATATTTCTTCAACCTGTCTTTTTCCTTATATAATTTGCCACAAAGGAGAGGTAGGGTGGATGTGATGGGCAACTCTAAATGTACCTTGGAGCACCACAATGCTGATAAATTTGTCTTGCTTAGCATTTTGAGACATGGAATTGAAGTATGTAGCCAAAAAAGGAGGAATTAATTTTAAGCATTTTATTAGGAGAATCCTACCCAGTGAACAAACAATAACTTAAATATTAATAATACCTGATTCATTATTAAACTAACAATACTCAAGTTCATCACTTCAATATTATTATTCCTTATTGCTTCCCCTTTCTATACAGATTCTTTTACATGGGGGATTCCTTAAATGAATTTTCCATTCATCAGATGACTGGGTCTCCACCGATTGATCAACCTGGCAAGTGCCACAGCCATGACATGGCCTCTCAGAGTTATCTTTACTTGGTGGTACTGTCTTTTTATCCTGTGTTGGCCAAGATTCCAGTGGCAAGTCACTTGTTTGGGAAATCCCAATTTTATGGAGGACTTGAACAGTCATTTCATTGATGACCTCTGGAGTTGTTATGCAGTTTATAAGATCATCAGTAGACAGTGGGATGTTTATATTTTTATCAGTCTCTCTCTGTTGTCTTCCATCCAGGTTTGCCTTATGTTTTACAGCAGTTAATGCCTGATGTAAGTAGCCCATGTTCTGACTATGTGTTCCAATTTCCTGTGAATTAAAAATAACAAGAATAAACTGCATGTAATTTTTACTCAGATGAAATCTAACAACAACTACTATGCCTGAAGCTCATTGATTATTTATTATCAAAATCTTTTATTTTGTGCAATTAAAATTTCTCCACAGCAGAATTCCTTCAGAACAGTTAGTACCATGGCCAATAAAACTGTAGCTGTTTATGAAGGTGGTAATTAAATATTTACGTGTTAATTATAATAATTAGAATAAGATTGTGATCTTATCCAGTTTTGTGCCAACCAACAGACACTGTTGGACAGTACATCTTGTCTGCCATAAATCCTTGAATAAGCGCCCCCTTTGAATAAGCACCCCTCTTATAGGCCAAAATTTAAAATAAGCGCCTCCCCTCAAATAAGTGCCACTGCCCCCCCCCCCTTCCTGGTCGATGATCACTTCACATTATTGATATGGACGAGGACAAGATCAACATTGATATTTAATATGTGATCACACTCACCAAACTAGTTAAAGCGTATTAGATTTGTACACTGCTTCAATTTATGAACACTGTAAGTTTGGAAAAACAATTACAAGTACCAACCGTACTTTTACTAAGACTTTAGGATCAGCTTTGTATGCTGCATATGTTTACACATTAATACTGTATTTCAAAATAACTATCATATCTTGCTACGTGTTGGCGAAAGTTAAATAAGCACCCCCCCCGATTAAACGCCTCCCTCGTATGAGTGCCCCCCCCCATCTTCTTCTTAATTTGGAAAAAGCACCTTGGGTGCTAATTCTAGGATTTACGGTATTCCTGACATCTTGTTCCTTGCTTAAACCCCATCAAGTACACACTCTAGTCATGAAAACCAACAAACATTAAAATCTTCTACAAGGAGACATAATGTATGTTAAGAAATTGTATAAAAAGCAGCGAGGAGAAAATCAACGCTGATAAGTAACTAACTTCTGATGGGTTCACCCATGTTACTTCAGCAGCCCCATCCTCTTTCTTCAAGGCACACACCTAACAACGCACAGTGCAAAGGAGCTCATTTTAATTTACAAAATGCATTGCCAGGTGCATTTCAACTATTTTCAATAATTATTATTGTACTGTGTGGTATTATTATCTTCAAATCAGACCCTTGACTTCAAACATTTTGCCTACCACATTTTTGTTGACCACTTCTAATAACAGTGAACACTTGATTCCATTTGATTTCTATTTAACAAAAGAAAGTCCAATCACTTCAGAGGAGTGGGTTATTTTATTAATCCTCTCTTTCCAGTTCCCTTTGCCTTTAATTAAGCTGATGTCTCTGCCTACTGTACTTTATATACTGTACCCAGCACATTTTATGACACAGCACAGTGTATAGTGCTTGTATTGTTGTTCCCAGATGCTTTGTTGCCTCAATCTCACTAATACTGAGCCCAGCACTGTCCTGTTATGATTTTTTACATTGTTTCTGGTATTTATGGTCCTGCCAAGTTTTTAAAAAACTATTTAGTTACTATATTGACCTTCACACTTCTTTACCTACCAGTGTTCTGATCATTGCTTCTTTGACTCTTTCAATATGATCACTTTCCTTTGGTCAACAAATTAAAATATGTGATTAATATAAGTTTACAAATTATGCATGAATTACCAGATTTTGTTAAGGCCCATTACATTGTACATGCAACGTCATTTTATTCCGTATTGCAGTCATTTGATCAATAATACATACAAGATGTGTTATCGCTGACATGTTTTAGTGATATTTAATATATTTGCATTCCATAAAAATAAACATCTAATTTTAGCATTAAAAGATATTGTTAAGAGAGATTAATTGGGGAAATGTAATTAGTAAAATTAATGGTCTTAATTTATGAAGTTGAACAGAAATAGTAGCTGGTATATTATACTGTTACAATTCAGTCAATCTCAATTTACAGCACACTATATGTCAAAGACTCAAGCAAATTTGTAACCTCTAATTCATATGGGCATTTGTATTCAGAATCTAACACGTCAAAACATGAACAAAATAAGAAGCTTTGTGTTCAGTGTTTAACAAACAAGAGATACAATGCCATGGAAGGAAAAAATGCCATTCAGATGTTAATTAAAATATCTCTCTTAAGTATTGCTTTCGAGCCTAGTTGATACATCTTAAACCAACATTACTAACAAAAAGGTTTGAGATGAAAGAAAATTTCGACTTAAATCCTTACTTTAGAAATTCACCAAAAGTAAAGGTTATAACCTAGGGATGATGATTTACATATTAATTATCCTGTGGACCAAGCCTTATGAGCACTCCACTAAATATAACTACCTCATTATTACAGCCATTGCTTGGACCAAAGAAGACAATTTATCTGTCAACTGATTTAACACCACCAATTTATGGTCCAAAGGTGGATTAAGTTTCAACTGCAGCTCTGATCTTTAATGGCAACCGACAATCAACAATAATGATGGCAAACAGTACAAAAACTCATGTCAACTAGTTTGCAAAGTCAACTGCATTGCATGTTGTGACTTATTCATGTACATACCAGTTCAATCCACGTGTTAATACTAATCGATGTTTCTAATGACTCAACATAGTGCCACCATTTCTTGGGGACAAATAAAACATCACCAGGCTGAAGAATTACCTTCAATAAAAACATATCACCTGCCCATCAATTTGGTAAGTGCATTCTAAGCTTACTTTTAAAATAATCATTGCCTGTACATATTATTCTGTACGAAAAAACAAAAATTTATTTTCTTCTACATGTACTACATGTAAGGAACTTGCTACTTTATGCCAGAGGCCAGGCTTTTGAATTATTAACATTTTGTGATGCATAGTTTTGAAAGGGTTGACATAAATTCAACAGCAACAACTTGCAACTCTATGAAACGTTGTATCATGAAAAATATTACAGAACTTTCGTAATCATTAAACAAAAGGTTTAATGAGGAAAAGTATAGCTGTGCATGTGCTTGATAAAACTTTGTACATTTTTTGTGGTCTTCTGCAAAACAACAATGTGAAATGACCAAGTTCTGAGTAGTCTGGGGACCGTGAATGACAGCTAATTTTTCACATTTCCATTTGGAACTGAATGATCTCGTTGCATATTAATGTAAAGACTTTTACATTAAGTGACTGCCTTCTTCAAATGACAACACTGACAGAACAAATGAGCAGTGCCTGAACCAGGTTTACTGTGTTTTTGTATATGCAATTTTCCAGCAAAAAGTTGGTTATATCCAAATTCAACAAATTAAATGCGTTGAATTTGAAATTAATCAATACCAGTGCCAGTCTGAAGCTCAAACTCCTTGGTTGTTACTTTTCAGCCTGTATTGAATGTTAGCAGGTTCCTGTCCTCAGTTGGCACCAAATTATGTCACCGGTTGTTTTAAATTCTGTTTCAGTAAAACACTGCCACAAGTTGTCATGTCATCATGGCCCTTGTCAGACATAATTTATTGCTCACAATGAATTGTAAATGTGTAGTTCCAGAAAATATCCCTACCTTCTCCTTGGAAGATTCCCCCACTCCTCTGGAAATAGACCATATTTGTACTCCTGGTATTAGGCTGGAACTAGCTTGCAATGGAGGCTCGTGCGGCAGAATATCATTAAAACGAGAAAAATGTCATTTGCATTTGAAAAGACTCCCCGCGTTAGCCTCAATTGCAAGCTAGTTCCAATCCAATACCGAGAAAACAAATATGATCTATTCCAATTAAGCTTCATACAGTTCTTTAAATTTTTTGGTCTTAAGAGCCACCCACCCCTCAGGAAATTCCAATCCCTAATCTGTGGGGGGAGTATGGATATTTTCTGGATCTGCTCAGTGGCAAAAAAAATAACTAAAGCATAAACCTAAGCATGTAAATACCTCATATTGAACCACAGTTGCAAAGGCCGGAAATCTTCTCAAATCTGGATTAGTTACATTAACTTGACTAAACACACTGGATTCCTCATAAGGAATTCTGGTTGGATACAAGTTGGGTGTTTCACTCTGTGGAAAGAGAGTCCATTTCTTTGTGCCATAAATCTGTGCTACTAAATTACAGCCGTACGTATCAATATGACAGGGTGTTGATGCTTCAGCACTTCCAATCCATATTGTTGATTCATCGCCACTTCTTTCAGGAAAACCAAAACAGCTCCAGTTAACAGCATGGCGTAAGTGTGGGAAATCTTTGAATAATTCGGCCATGTGTTTGTAATCGGCATAGCACCAAAAGTCCTGTCTGAAAAGTAAACAAAATAATCAACTGCCTCTGTTACATCACAACTTATAATCCATAAAATATTTTACCTCGTGGGCAGTCCAAACGCTGCTCCCTTGCGATCCCACACCCCATTTTTTTTTTCTTTTTTCTTAGTCTTTGACTTTACAAAACGAAATGTATTTGTCTGTGTATGTTCTGGGATATTTATCGGACAGCTGAATAGCTAAGCACATTTACACTGACCAGCTGTCCCAGATCACATGAGAACATTCAGGCTTCAGCTGTTCAATAATATATAATCAATATGAGCAAATAGAACTATATCTCATGGAAAATAAACTTAAGGCAACTGGTCTAACAGACTGTATTACACACCAAAGAATTGCAGTCTCAAAGCCATATTTTACATGTATGTATTTGTAAGTCAAAAGTCAAGAGTAATTTCTTCTTTTAAGAGCAATGTGTCTGGTCATGTAGACAGACAACAATGGGACAATCATTCTGATTCACCTATTTCCAAATATACACTAAATGTCAGCTATAAAAATTAGCCAGGTTGTCTGATGTTTAGAATTGCGATGATCAAGCATGTCTTCATAACTCCATAGAATTAGAATGTCTCTATTCTTGGTTCACTGAATCTTTGAAATACTATAATACTGAGATGAAAAAACTTGTAAAAATGGTCCAGTTGTGTGTAGCTGACAAATGAAGAGTTTGTTCTGCTCATGAAATAACTGCCTGTTAAGTTTATGTTTTGCTTTTTTCTCCTGAGATGGTCAGACATTTTATTCCCTTGGCATTTGTACCAGGGATTGTTCCAAAAAGGTTCTAATATCACTGCTAGAGCCCATTGCTGACTATAGTTTCTGCATGCATTACCAAGCCCTACTGAAACTGGTACATCTTAATATTTACGCAAAAGACTGTCACTTTATAGAAAATAATCCAAATATCTAAGAAGTGCCGAATGCAAATCATTGCCAGTCAAGTTCCCTAGAACATGAAATAACCAGAAAAACAGCTCTTAGTTTACGTCAGGTTATGCAACTGCACAGTGATCTTTTTCTGGTGAATTCTTTGTCTGTGCTAAGAAATGTAACTGAGCCTGACCACCACTGAGACCACATGTTTTAGAGGTATTTTTCTTTGACAACAAGGGTATTGTAATTGTTAAAACCCTTTGTTCTAGTATTATGTTTCATGTGTTACACTGCTTTCTCTGATAATATTCAGTCTATAGAAATGTAGAAAGAAGCTTAGTTTAATACCATCATCACAGTCTCTGTTGTTTCATGTTATCAAGCAACGAGTCTAGAAGCTAAAGGAAGTTTGATTTTTTTAGTGTCAATTTACCAGTGGTTTTTTAAATTTACTCCTTATCTGATTAAGCTTTTTGGTTTCTTGTTGTGCAGAAGTATTGATAGTTTTACCAATACTAAGGTGTGCTGTGAAAGTAAGGTAAGTGAAAACTGTTTTCTTCCATCCTTTTTAAGTCTTTTAAAAGTAGTGAAGATTTTTTACATGGTTTGCCATCATGGGTTATAGGCAAGAACAAGCAAGGGAAACTTACTTTTAATACACGAGCAGTGAAAACATGAAAACTGAAAAAAAAAACAAAAAAAACGTGGTTTAAAAATAAGGTCTCCAAGTTTTGGAATTTCAATAATAGGGTCTTAGAATCTCTGACCCCTCCCNCCCCCCCCCCCTTAATGAATACACTTTTGGTATGTAACAGTTTTTGCCTCTTCTTGCACCCTTTATATCTGCTAGAAGCTTCCCTGTCTTAATACGCATGTTCACTGGATACACAAAGCAAACTCTCTTAGGCTTCAGGGGTTATTCATAGAGAGTCATCTGATAACATCAGGCCTTGGCATTGCCCAGTGAACTTCTCTGAATATATAATCATAAACAATAACCAAAGCAGTCACGTTCTATTCTTGAAGGGATTGATTAATTTAAATTGAACAATAGCATTACGGCACCCGGCGTAAACACACACTCCAAGGCGTCATGTTGTCTCTCTGTCCACGCCTGTAACAGGTCGGTCAATATCAGCAGATATTTTCTTCAACACTCATTAACAATTTGCATTCGTTGTTGAAAGCCATTTCCCATATGCCAGCGGTGTTGCTCATCTTGTCCACTTGGCCAATATTTCAAAGATTATTAAAATAGTAAACCACAGAAGAATCAATACACAATTAAACCGACAGCTACGTTTGCTGTACTTCTGAGTACCAAAAGATAATTTGTTTGTTTGTGTTGTATGGGTAAGGTCAAGATCAGTCGTGATTGAGATTGGACCTGTATTTTAAGTATTATTTATATATGGCGCGACACACCCGGTCTAAAATAAACGTGTCTTCCAATTAGCAGCAGGATACTAGATTATCTTCTATTATAATTGGTCTTTTGTTACCTTTGGAAACGCGACAAACTTCCCGACCTATCAATGTTGCCATTCAACCATTGAAAAAACTCGCCAAAACTTGCTTCCTCGAATTCGCAATCTGTCTCCATGATCGCTTTCTTGTAAGGACTAGGTTCATTCGCGGACGAGTTCGCTCTCGAACAAAATCGAAACCTGGTTCGAAGATCGCCGACTTCGGAAGCAAGAAATTCCGGTGTCCATAGCGAACACGTCCATTGTCTAGCTGCGCCATCAAAAACTATCGGCTCTGTACGGTTTAAAAGATGAATTCGAAGTTTTTCAGCGTTAGAAATTAGTGATATTCTCTCCAATTCGTGGTGATTGGCCTTGTTTACACTCAGACCACGTTCGTCCACCATGTTGGAATGACGTCACGTCACGGTTATTCCGCTGTACAATAAGAACCACGGAATAGTGTACATACCGGAAGTAGTGATGCTGGAAGCGGGGGCATCCTGTTACGTAGCGTCACGCACGTACAGTGATTTCATGAAAAGAATATTGCTGTCCAATAACCGCTGTCACGATGATAGCTGTTTATTTCATTCCGTCAAAAACAAATACTCTTTCAGACTCGGCGCTTTGTTGTCTCTGTTATTGTTTTTGATTTATAAAGCTGTTTTTTACGTAGATGAGTCCTTGGTATGTGAGGCATATTGTTGACATTGTTATTTAGGCAGTAAGACAATTGAATTTTCAACCGAATACGTGCTGTTTGCCTTATCCAGATAATTCCACTGAAAGAATTAAGACTTGAAACACAAGCATCTTATCATGAACAAAAATATCCTTAGTGTTTTCCGCGTATTGGTGTTGAAATGTGAAAAATGTCAGAGGAACAACAAGATTTCACACTACCAAACAGGAAAACTGTCAAACACGATATCATTATCGTTGTTTTAGCATCTGGGAAAAGCAACAGAATGCAAAACACGCTGCTAAAGGCGAGATTAATATATTATATCAAGAGATATAAATCGCAAATATGTTTGCTACGGTATTTCAAACCCTAAAACCTCTCGGAATAGAATTATCAAGATATAAAGAAATATCAGCTAGCAGAGCCATTCGTCTTCAGGCTGTGTTGCTTTGTTCTTTTTTGTTAAGTGTCAACAAAACCAGAATACATGTGCGCTTTTCCGTCGTGGTGTGCATTTTTCGGCGCGAAAGGTCGACAGATCAAGAGTACCGCTACTCAAGTCTAATCCGATTGACAATCGAAAGTGAAAAATCCTCGAGTTTGAGTTTCACTCGCGTTGCTTGAAGATATGTTGTCTTTAGAAACAGACTAGCAGTAGTGTGGGGGATGACAATCACCCATTCCGGCGACTTTACAGGGTTCACCGCGAGGGACGGGGACTGGGGGCGGCGGGGAGAGGGTCGGTGGGGTGAAGATATTGTTGAGTGGATTAGAACTATATATATAACACCCGGAATAACATGCCAACAGGGGAATGCAACTAATCCTTTCACCAGCATCAGTTATTAAATTAGAACCATATCCAATAGATCGTGAAATTACACAAGACAGGTTTTCCATTCACTCCGCAAATTCTGAGTAGCATATGTACCGAAGTTTTTTTATGGCCTTAAAAACGTGTGCAACACGTCGCAGACGCACTTGTATTTTTTTCCTCTTTTGAGATCTTCACTATCAAACCTTGGTATGTTGCGTTCAGATCTTAGTTTCGGAAAAAAACTGAAATTATGAGCAAAATGAGAGAGAAGCGGACTCAAAAAGGAGTATTTTTCACTGCAATACAAGTACGAGATAATAGTAATACGTAGAGTTTGTCATTTAAGCGGGGACACCGAAAGCTTGTTAGGCTTCGTTTGAATTGTCTTCATCCTGAACTCTATGTTTCGAGGAAATGCCATGGATTGCCGCGAAACCGCAGTAGAAGAGTTGAAGGTGTTATGCTTTGTCGTAAAGCCAGTCGTCATATCCAGTAATGGTAGAAAACTGAATACGTGTACACTGTGAAAAGATAACTGGCTTAGTAAGCACTTGGACGATTCACGATTTGCAAATCGTTTCTTTTCAAACAACATCGCTCAGCTCTCAGCTTGCGTTGACTTCTATGATAAAGGACGTGAAATGACTCAGTCAACATATTTTTATACGGGTATTTTTGAAGAAATTTCCATCAAATATATCATTCAATGTTGGATCAATTTCCCAAGTAAGGTGTCCAGAGCAAGTCAAATATATCAGTATTGTATTGACGAGTAATGTTGGTTTAGTTCGAAATTGAGCCCTATAAAAAACCTTAACTGCCTCTCTTGGAATCCGATGGCTTTCCTGAAATGTTCCTCTAAAGAAGGGAAATGTTTCTCCGCCAATCAGAACAAGCCGTGATTGTCCTAGTGGTCGTGTTAACAAACCAGCAACTATTTTGTGCACATATGTATATTTCGCAACGACAGACAAGCACCTTAATGGGTATATATTTAATGAGATCGGACATGAACTCCATATTCAGTGCAAATCAGTTCCTAAAATACAGATAAGCTGATACTGTCTGCGGTCACGTGCCTTTGTACCATCTCAGTTTCAAAGCAAATTCTGACGTTGTTAAGACAGCTTTTTGAATTTTTTTAAACAATTGGAAGCTAACGTTACTAGTGTATATAGTTGTGTTGACTTTCCTTGGCTAGCTCCATCGCTCGATCTGTTGGCAAGGAAGTTGTTACATTGGGTGTGTCTTTTATGTTTTCCGTTTTAGCATCTTGAGATTAACTGCTTCGCTAAAGCTTTGATCGTTATCGGAAATCCCGCGCGGAAAACGTGGTAGCGAATTAGAACGCGCGAACGACACCACGGGCAAACTTTGGATTAGTCTTGCTTTCAGAGAGGCGTGCTTATGAATGATTCTAGCTATATGAAAGCTCATCACAAAAGATAGATGTTGTGTCGAAGTGTTTGAAAGCAGTAGTTGATTCAACACCGCAGGCAACATCTTCATTTTGATCATTCTTTCACGAGTAATTGCGGTTTCCATGGTTTTTGACGAGTGTTTGGAAAAGGCAAAGAGTACAATCAAGCCAGCTTTTTGTTTCTTTCTGTCATCTCACGAATAAATAAAGAACAAAATATCGGCCAAGCGAAGGAAAGAATAATCAGATCTTCACTTGTTTTATGCCGGCCCTGAAGTTCAGTGATTGGTGGAGTATTGTCGTGATATCCTAACAGAGCTTCGCATATCAGTTCACAGTCTTTCAGTTGTTTTATTTTCCGTGTTTTATTTTCAGTCCAGAAGTTTACAGAAATAATGAATAGGTTAGCGGTGCCGTTCTGTTGATTAAGACCTGCTATTCATATTCAAAACGGGCATCTAGAACTTGTCATGATAACTGCCTTTACTTTATTTCTCTTTCTTTCTAATTGGCAAGAACTGTCGAAAGTCTCTTCGTATTTGTGTGAAGATACTTCTCAAACACTTTTTTAGTGCGAGTAGTTTCCTAATTCGCCGGGAAACAAGCTCAAAACAAAGTACTTGAGACTTTATGGTCGAGAGACGAATGGGAAGGCGTGTTTGACGAGGCCATTTGGCAGCTGTGCGGACCAATATCGCCAAAAGTCTCAATAAGTTGGTGCTCGTATTGCTAATGTCCGACTCCCTAAGGTCGGCCATTAGTCTTCTCAATGGTCAGCATCATTACGCATTTATCAAATGGATGACGTCACGTGAATTGCGTTAAATATTAATGAAACGTGCCGCGTTTGGGCTTATTTCTCAAGACCGGACTGAGTGATGTATAACAATTATAGTCGTGTTTACAATACTAACGAGCGACCTTTTTAGATGTAAATTTTTGACCACTTTGTCTGCCTGTATGGCGAAGCAGTTGCGTTGTTTTGAAAATTATCTTTGGGCGTGTGGTCGGTCCGTTTTGGAGGCCAGTTTATCAACTCTATGGCTGGTCTGACACGTCATTTGCATGTTTGGCTTAGCCACCCTGAAAGAGGGTTCTGCATATAAAAGAAACTAACCCTCACATTTCAATGATAATACCATTGTTCGCAGCCAAGCCCACGACTCAATGCCATGATTAATTTCACAAATTATTTCCTTCGTCTTTCTTTTCAGTGGCGGCCATATACCCGTTTTCGTGACAAAAGCTCAAGCTAAAGGCTGCTAGCGCAGCTGCCCCCATAGTGGAAAACGAAACCACGTGAGAGCTTCATTGGCTAGGATGCAAGTAGAAGTGTATATCGGCGGTTTTAGTGGCGAGCCAGTCGGTTTAGCTAATTGATGCAATATGTCATAGGCTGCCTAGCTAACTCCAGGCAAATTTCCACGAACACTGTTCCAATATAACGAGTGACAACGTCGAGGGAAGTAATTAAAATTTCACTTTTCATTTATTAGCTGAACAAAGAATAAAACCACAATGGAAGGCCCGTCAGCTGCGTGATTGGTTCAGGTGTTTTTGAGCGAATCATGAAAGACAAATTCGTTTTCTGTTTGCAAAGAAACTTGTGTCCTTGCTAGTACTAAATGTTCGATGCGAACGCGTCCGGACTTGCTTCAGCGCGCTTGAATCGTTGAAGCTTTCAGCTTAGTGAGCAACATCTGAAGTGCGGTTAGAAACTCTTGTCAAGAATAATATTGGAAAGAATTTTTCAATTCAAAGGGCCTTAAGGCGAAAAGGTGGTTATATTGTCATTTACATCCACCTAATGTCTTGGCGCAATATACATTTCTGTCCTTCTTGCGAAAGTTCTTTCTTTTCAGGGCTGACTCAAGCTCTTCGTTTGCGATATTTCCCAGAATAAAGATTTACGTAGATTCGGATTTGTGTGTGTTTGACGTCATCGATGCTTTCTGCTCGCCTCTGTCTTCCCTGTTCACAGAGCCCTCGGCGATGCGCTCCAGTGTTTTGCGACATCTAACAAAAAAATTTGGTCTTGAGCGCAAACGAAGGAAAAATAAAAATGTTTCAGCCTGTTTCGTTGTAAGTCCAACAATGGATCGTCCAAATAAAAAGCTATTTCTACCTGAAAGAACATACATGTCTACCCACAGAAGCTCAGAGGCCCTGCTTCGTTGCGTCGCAACCAATGAAAGCGTTTGCCTAAACCCGAATAACCGAACCAACTTACCCGTTTCAATAGAGATAACACCAACAACTATGATTCTTTTACCTTTAAAAAAGCACTGTCTTACGTCGAGCTAAAGCCAGCGATCGAGTGTTTCGAAACAAGAGGGAAATTAAATAAATTATAAAGGGATTATGTTTCGGGGCGAATGTCACAGATATGTTGCCCACTCTCGTAATCTTCTCAAGTCGAGTTCTTTCTCGATTCGCCCAGAAGTTTGTGACGCGAATCAGCAGGCCTCAGAGGTCAATGGTTCTCCACGCTGTAGTGCCCTGTTCCGCTAGCTATAGTCCCTTGTTCCGCTAGCTTTTGCGTTCTATTTTCTCTTTCGTGGAGATAGCTGTGATAATTATGTTTTATTACGAACACCAGCCCAGCTACCAAGAATTCTAAACACGCGCCGACCACGCTGATTGGTTCGGAACATGTCATGTCCGATGTGAGCATGCGTAATGCGACGGGAAATGCACGTGTCAAAAGAATATATAAAAACAACAAAGCTTCCTTCTTAGTCTTAGAGATATTGTGTCATTAGCAGGGAGGTATCCTTTATGTTTTTCTATTTATCTAGAGCTTTTATGTCGGCCGCAGTCATTTGGGTCCCTTCGTAAGTGTGGTCCGTTGAGAATAGAATGCCATCAAGCATGTTGGACTCAAATCTTTGTCCACCTAAAGCGAAAAAATTCGCCCATAGTTGCCGAAACGCCAGCTCTGGGAGGTTTACATACTGCGTACCGCCTCTACATAGATTATCAGCGAACACAAGGATATTTCAGCCCGAGGAAATGGAGTCTAGGATTATTTTGCCGCCATCGTTGTTGACTCATTTAAGCGAGGAGGTTCTTGTTCTTATTTTGGAGTATTTGGACTTCAGGAGTCTTGTAATGTTGGGCAAAACTTGCCGACTTTTTCACCGACTCTGCCTCTCGAATCTCATATGGCGTCATCGATGTAGGGTGAGTGAGTGGTATTTTTGAACTATTTTGTCAGTGTGCACGAAGCAAGTTATTGTTTTAGTATTTAGCTCGTTTCGTTTTGAGTTTCTGTGCTATTCAGCTTGGTTTAGCCTTTCGGATCAAGCGAGAGAACGCCACCCTTACCTCATGACAATCATGGGCTGTGAAATTCTCGTTTACAAGTCGTTCACTTTTCCCGTTTATTGAACGGAATATTTTTGCAAGGAGACTAAATTTTGAGGCTATTAGCAGTCTTTCTGTGAGGAAATACACAGAAAATCTCATACAAGAGTGTCGAGGTGCCATCCTCCCCTCCCCTTTGTTGTATTCGCTCTGAAGTAGGCAGCAATGCGCTTAAATTTTCCATTTCCGATTTCCAAATGCCATGCGGTAGTTGTACCCGTTCGGGCAGAATATCTGACAGAAAGGCGGCCTTTATTCGTGAAAGTCTTAGGGAATTCTACAATACAAGCATTACTGAACACGAAATATTTCTATTTTGGTTGCTCAGTTGCTAAGTTTGTGATATTTTGTAGAATACGTGCGTTATAAACATTCGAGTAACGAAGAGGGCAAGTGCTTTCATTTAGGTCTAATATATTATTCAAGATGTGAAAGCTGCCAAGAAATTCGAGCTTTATTTCTCTTGTATATTTCTCTTTCAAGCCGTAGGGTAAATAGAATGATAGAATCTGTCGACCAGGGGAGCGAGAAAGGCTGTCGGAGCGGTTAAACTGACTGTGCCTATTCACCGCCTGGCATATCCGGGTTGGGAGGAAAGAGGGTGTTTCTATTCGTCGGCGTGCCTCGTTTCATGTAATGTTGGTGGGTTATTGAAATGGTAATGAAGAGATCGATTTCAGTGAATCCAAGTGGTTGGTGTTGAATAGACGGCTTGTGTTGAATACTGCGAGAGAATAGTTGTGTTCTTGTGATACTTTATCGCGCGCTTGTCATATCTCTCGGACTCGGCGCTACCCTTCTCTCATTTCAACTCCAATCAATTCGCTTTCGCTCCCGAGACACTGGCTTGGGACTTTCAGTGCCTTTTGTAAACACGGTGTTGATTTTGCATGGTACAAGAGCTTGTCCAAGTGGTGAAATATGCACAGCTTTTTTGAACAAGAGGACATGAATAAATAAATTGAGGCTTTTTGAAAGGAAATTTACGCGATATTATCGGCACCGGAATCGATTGTTTTGTGTTGCTTTGGCCAGGCCTACAGCAGCTGCACCATGTTTGGCCACTGAACTAGATCCACTGTTTTTTTTCCCTAGAAATTCTCTGCTTGTCGCTAATTGCAGATAATTTTTTTCCTCTAAAGGAAGGAGGTAATTTTCTAGTTTATCTTATGGTAAATCTCTCTCTTCATAATCTCCTATTTGTGTGCAACGCGAAGGCAGGCTTCTTCGTGCAACCGTTTTCAGTTCATTGGGGGGTTTTCCCAAAGGCTATTGTTGACTTGCTGTGCTTTCCGTTGCTTGAACATTTCGAGTTTTCTACTGCACAGGACACAAGATAGTGAAGGTTCAGGGGAAACTGAGGGGAAAATAAAGGAAATGTAAAATCTTTGATGGAACAAACGCAAATGAAACTTTTACACGAAGTTCTAGGCAAGTCAGACTTACTAACGTTTGTGTTTGGAGTAGCATGATAAATCCATACAACAATTTTGTTTTCTGAGCATCTGTGGATCAGTGGCCACTACACTACAACAGCAATATTTTTTTCAATGGTTCCGTTATTGTTCTAGTTAAGAAATAGAAACAATTTCAGACTTCTTGATTTGATCTTGTTGAAAATTTCTCTGATTGAGAATGTAGGGTTCATAAGTTTTCTTCAAGTTTGCATGGTACAAAAGTACTTAATTATTCAGATTCTGCAGGACTGATGTTCAGTTTTACCTACAAGTGAGAACTCTAGCAAGACAAATGATAAACTTTGTTACTGAATATTTCTCTAAGTATGGGCACAGTATTGGATTTTGTTGTCGTTAATAACCTGAGGTTTGCTCTTGCAAAAAAATTCAGTTTTATAAGATTATGCTGATTTTCTTTTCCTGCCACTCAAGCAGCCAAATTCTATGATGTTCCATGTATGTTACATAGAAAACATCATATTCATAGATAGATTTCCTGTAGCAGACAAGAAGTGATCTGTTTTCATCTATCTGCTTGGCTTAGATTGCAAATTTTTGAGGGATTAAGTTATTTTTTTTTCATTATCAGTAAGCTGTGATTATTTCATTCCGACTATTTCTCCCTTTACTGGTATTGTATATATTCAGGTGCATTCTCTTGCTAACTGGGCATTTTCCATGATATAAACAACGGGACAACTCTTCACCTTGGGTGTATGTGTGTGTGTTTGTGTCAGTTCACTGTCTTCATGTTTTTGCAAATTTTGTCAATTGTTTGTTGTAGAAGAGCAGAATTTGTTTGAGCCTCCCCCAACAAACTAATCCTTTAGTTGAAGAGTAGAGCCTTTCAAGTCATTGATCCTGCCAATAAACCATGCATCAAGTTTTGACCAATCGCAGCGAGCAGATTTTATGTGGAAGCCATGGCTATGTTTCTGGACATTTGTATTTATCTTTTATTCAAGCTCTCATAAACCATATTGCAATATGTTTAAAACTAAAAGACATAATATTTGTGAAAGAGGGTTTGGCATGTCTTGGAAATTATCCTGTTAGTCTGTTTTTTATGACAAACCTGCTGTTTATCGTCTAGAAGACATGAATAGCTTACCATCACATTATGTTTGAATCTGGTTTGACTTCTTCATTTCAGGTGGATTTTGGTCTCAAAACAAGGTGGCCTGAGTATACTTACATTTACCTCTATGAAATGTTCTACAAAGCTGAAGTACTTAAGAACGATCATAATTTTTTCAGACCAGTCAGTCAACTTAAGACATCCGTTATTGTTTGGTATCTATTGAACCCCATTCCTCCTTCTCAAAGTGTAAGCCATTTAACGGCAAGCCAAGCAAAGTCAATATGGGGATTGACAGATGAAGAACTGGAGTCAAGTTACCATGAATCTGACAGAGGTGAGTGTTTATCATTGTATAGTCATGTGCCTCAAATAGTATTGCTTAAAATGGAAGAGAATATTATAGGTTTGGCTACATGCAGTAGTTATATGAAAGTAATGATGGAATTGCAGCTTGGTTTTTAACTTACATCCTGTAACAGTTAACTTATCGAGAAAGTTCAAGGTGTTGCCAAACAAGAAATTGTTTGTTGTTTATCAAATGCACAGATACATGTACACAATTCTGTGAATTGTATTACACAGAAAGTGACTGATCTTGCTGCAGAAGTAAGCTTTCTAGGCTTCCTTGTTATATGGACATGAACTGTAGAGTTGCTTACCAGACTAATTTTACAATCTTTCTCATTGCTTGATAAATATATGTAAATAAAATTATAATTGAACTGTCAACTTTTGGCAGTTACTTTTCCCATGCCACAGTCTTGACAATTTCAGGTTTTGTTGTTGATGTGGATATGTTTTGTCTTCCTTTGCAGAACGGGACATACAAGAAGACTATCCCTCTAATTACTATGAATGGACTAGTTTATACAAACTTTTTGTTAGAAAACACGGTGGAATTAGACAAATGCAAACTTATGTTCTCAAGCGATGCTTGAGAAATCGGCAAGCTCTTGA